GAAGGGCAAGAAGAGCATGAAGGGCAAGAAGAGCATGAAGGGCAAGAAGAGCATGAAGGGCAAGAAGAGCATGAAGGGCAAGAAGAGCATGAAGGACAAGAAGAGCATGAACGGCAAGAAGAGAAATTCTATCCCCCCTTCACTCTCACTCATCTTGCAAGGGGGAGGGGGGGTTCTTTCGTTCTTTCGGATACAGCAGAAGCTGGAGCTGTATGAATTGAATTGAAAGAGGATAAATATCCTAGGTATGAGATACTATCAGATAGCCAGATCCTGCTAGATAAGATAGCTCAGAGCATGTCGTGTACTCTCTGAGAACATGTACTTGTGAGCCGTGTACTTTCACAGAACATGTACTTGTGAGAGAGAGCGAGCGTGTACTTTGAGATATGAAACCCGTAACCCGTAACCCTTGACCCAAGACGTCAAATCGTCGTCGGTGTTTTTCCTCCTCTTTCTTGAGCCAGTACAAGCCACTGCTCAAATTGGGTGATATCAATCTGATCCATACCTATGAAACCCTTCCAAGTCACGAATAGTCGTCAGTGTTTTCCTCCTCTTTCTTGACCCAGTCGTCGAATCGACGTCAGTAGTTTTCCTGCTCTCTCTTGAGCCACTGCTCAAATCAATCTGATGGCCCATACCAGCAGGGCACATCGCCGTGTTTCTGATTTTGTGAATCGGGACCACAGCGGTATTGCACGTCCACTGCGAAACCATGATAACGTAAGGAAATCCGAAAGGAAAGTCAAAAGGAAATCCGCCACTTGTTCCATTATTCCTAAAAGATGTTGGAAGGAGATACCGAAAGATTGGTTGTTGGTTGTTGGTTGATGTTGGCACTGCTTCCAGTAACCCCGAGGGATCAGCTTGCCCTCGATCCTCACACTCGACGCTCAATGCTGGACCGGTTAGCATGTTCCGACCTCAGACGTGCTTGCAACGATGGGTGCCCAGACTGGGCAGTGAGTACCCAGGTAGCGAGTGAGGGCAGTGAGTACTCAGAGTTGGTAGGAGTGAGGGCATATCTGAAGGCAGATCAAACATACCGTATGTACTGCCGAGGTAGGGCAAATCTAAAACCTGTCAAACTTGGCGTTGAATCTTTCCTCCTCGTTTCTATCCTCTCGAGCGAATTCGATCAGCATCCTGTGAGCATATACCCTCTCCGGGTCTTTGTCATTGAACCAGATCTCGGGGTAATAGCCCAACACGGTGGCCAGACTGTTGACGTCCTTCTTTTTATCGAGGTGGAAGAAGATGAGTTCGAGCACCACAAGGGGAACGTTTTGGAAGGCAGTGAGATGGATGGGCGCGTCCACGGTACGGCCCTGGTCAGCAAAATACTTCTCCTCCTGGTCCTTCCAGTAAAGATCCTTTCTTTTACGGGACCAAATAATAGGCTGTCTAGTGCAGGGGTGTCGGAACATGAGGTCGCCGTTTCTCGTGCCGTGGATGAGGTCGGCTGGATACTTCTCGCCCTTCACGTCCCTGCCATGTTGTAGAAAGTACTTGAGGTCAAGGACACGGAAAAGGGGATGTACTAATGCCTGAGACCAACACCACTCATGGATATAGAATTTGTCATCAGGCCGGGGTTTCCCTGTTCAACACTGTGAGATAAGGCACTTTTTGGTACGGGATATGGGATGGGATATGGGATAGGGATATGAGTGTCAAGACTTACATTTGCACGACTTCGGCGGCGTAAGACTGTAGGGCAACTCGGGATACTTGATCATGAAGCCCGGCGGGCCTGGTCTGTATACCTTGACAGCCTTTTCGCATATGATACACATTCCGTAGAAGTCGCGAGAGCCTTCGCCAGGTACCCGTGGGGATTCCTCATGCAATATTTTGAGGATATCCATTTTCGCTTGGAGCCTTTCGACCGAGTGAGGTTTCCTGCTATTCGAGGAAGGTCCGGCAGGTTCGTTTGCGATTGCGGTATCTCCTGCGGTGTCTGCGGCGTCTTCTGCGGCGTCTTCTGCGGCGTCTTCTGCGGCGTCTTCTGCGGCGTCTTCTGCGGCGTCTTCTGCGGCGTCTTCTGCGGTGTCTTCTGCGTCTTCTCCGGCGTCTTCTCCGGCGTCTTCTGCGACGTCTTTCCTGGAGTCTTCTGCGACGTCTTTCCTGGCGTCTCGCATGGCGTCTCTCATGGCGCTCATGGCGTCTCTCACGGCGGCTGACTCTGCGAGCATTTTGTCGATCTGACTTTCCGTGTATCCCAAAGACAACGGCGGTCTATCGATTGGATCAATTCCCGGTTCGACCAAAGGTTCTTCCTGTAGGCCTGGCAAGGGGTTCGGGCTGGTTGCGGGAGCTTTGCCCTTGCCCTTGGCCTTGCGTTTGCCCTTGCCTCTAGCTTTGACCATTCTTTCTCGGCACCCTGCCAGTAAGGCTGAGAATGATTGATGTGGGAAGGAGGGCCAAATGGGCCAGGTTGTCGAAAAGACAATGCAGTCCGACGATACAGGAAGATTGGAAGAGGGGGAGGAGATACGGCAAAGATAGCCGCAGCGGGGGAGAGCGAGAGAAGAGAAAGAGGAAGAAGTCAGGCTGAGGAGGGGAAGGTCTTGACATATATACTCTGTGCTATTTAGACGCCAGGAACAAAGTTACTCCGCCTCTGGGTCGGTGTGTGTGGTTGTAGATTACGTCAGGTAACTGGATGCTTTTGGTGCTTTCTGGTGCTTTTGCTTTGGTGGGTGGTGCTGGGGTTTGGGGTGGGGGGTACTACTACTACTATGTACAAGGGGTGGGGTAGTGGTGGGCCAAGAAGCCAAGTCTCCAGTCTTCCCACAACCCACAATCCACAATGCCCGGGGTCAATATTAATTGCCATCCACTGATTTACTAGTTACATGATTCAGGGTCTGTTGTTCAGTCAGCTACATGATTCAGTTACTTTTCGGGCCTGTTGTTCGGCCAGGCACCTAGCCAGGCATATGATTCTACCAAACTTAAGCACTAACTTAGGCATTCCCAGCCTTGCCCTTTAACTAGAAGGCTAGTGTATATAGGCACACCTATATTATTAGGGGTCCCCTAAACCCCTTTAATAGAGATAAATTTAGGCACTAATATTAGGTATTCTAGCCTTGCCCTTTAACTAGAAAACTAGTATAGGCACGCCTAATCGTCAGGGCTCCCCCTATACCTCTTTGATGGAGAACATGGAACATTTCAACCTTTGACAGACCAAGTCTGCTCTACGGAGTACACCGATCATAATTTAGGTCGATCTCGACAATCTGTCCACGCGGGTTGTTTGTTGGGTGGATTTTGTTCCGCAGGGCACATGGGCCCGAAGGCTGGTTTAAGTATGCTACACACATTATATATAAACCTTGCGCTCCCCAGCGAAATGACCCTTTGATAGAGAACATGGAACATTTCAACCTTACAAATCAGCGTTGAACAGCGCATTGGGCCAAGTACACTGACCAAGTCCAAGTGCGAATCCAAGTGGGCGCAACGCAGACTTGTCCGCCATGGTAGGTTGATTGTCTGAGCCGCACCGCAGCACTGCAGCTTTGACGTTGAATCCGGATCGTCACAGCCGAAAGGGCTTCCCTTCTTTTGGGGCAACTAGTCACTGATGGGACCGGATAGCCTGTGGGCATGGCGTGGTTGGGCAGTTCTGTATGTATCAGATATCAGATATGAGACGTCCTGGCTTGGGACTCAAGCCTTCCCGCCTGCCGGAACCATAGCTCGACCAGTGAGTTAGGTCTCAATTCGCATTGGCGGCATTCGCCTTCTTCGTGGCGCGGCCTGACTCGGCGTGACTCGGCGAGGCTGGCATCCTGCAGACCATGTCATGGCGCCTGACGTAGGCGTCTATGCCCGGGAAATCGGCTTGGTCGAGCATGGAGGACTCGACTTCTTGAATGGCGGCACTGTCGAGGTTCTCAGGCACACTGTCACCGCCCAGCGGCGGCTGCCTGTAGGCGATGTTGAGGTTGAACGTGCGTTGTAGAACCGACGTGTACGAGATAGAGTCGACGTGCTCAAAGGCGAAAAGGCGACGGGATTCTTGAAGCCGAAGAAGATGCCGGTCTGTAGGAAGAACACAGTAGCGACTGTACGCCGACCGGCATGTTGGGTGAGGCATGTTGGCAACGCCTCGACACGAGCACGAGCACACGATGACCCGAGTTCTGCTCGTTTTGGGAACTCGGCAGCCTTGCCTTGCCTTGCCTTGCGTTGTCTTGTCTTGCCCTGTCTTGCCTTATCTCGCCTTGCCCTGTCTTGTCTTGTCTTAACTTGCATTGCCTTGCATCGCCATGTCTTGCCCTACCTAGCGTTGACTTGTCTTGTCTTGCATTGTCTGCCCTATCTTGCCTTGCCTTGCCCAGCTGGCTCCGATGCCACCGGTAGGAACAATGATTGATTAGTTGGTGTTGCCTCTGAAGCAAGAGGAAGTTTCCCTCCGCTCCCTCGACGCTTCTCTCCTTCGATTCTTCTCTCTCTCGCTGCTTCGACTCTCCTTCAAGGAGTCGAGTCCAATGTTGGCATGAATGCAGCCATCGGGACTCGGACTCGGACTCGGACTCGGACTCGGACTCGGACTCGGACTCGGACTCGGACTCGGACTCGCTATGAGGCTGATGCTGGACTGGACTGGACCGTCCTACTAGTAGTAGTCAGGACCTAGTAACCCACTCGCCATCCGTTTTGTTTAGATGTCCACTTGACCTCTGGACCTCTTGACACCTTGACTTGACATTTGGACCTCTTGACTTGACCTCTGCACCTCTGAACCTCTTGACCTCTGCACCTTGACTCTTGACCTCTGCATCTTGACTTCTGCATCTTGACCTCTTGACCTCTTCCCCATGGACTCAAGCATGTCCAGAACGTCCTGTCATTCTGACCAATGACAGTCAAACTTTGCAGCTGTAGTTATAGTTGTAGTTGTAGTCATATGCTAGGAAGACATGTAGCGGTAACAGTAGCACAGCAGTAAGAGGAACAGGAACAGGAATATCAACGAGAACAGGAACAGTAAGAAGACCAGGAACAGGAACAGGAATAGGAACAACAAGAAGAAGAAGAGAAACAAGAACAGGAACCGGCACGGAACCGGCCGCAGACAACCTCTCTCAGACGGACACGCCTTTCGCCGTGCTTGCGTGAGGACGTCATCGCAGCTTAGCTTAAGGTAGCTTGCGAGCGTGCGCGTGCCAGAGGGCCAAGCCTAAGCCCCTTCCTTGCCAGTCAGTTCCGGTTCCTGTCAAACAGTCTAGATACCTGAGAGCATCGCCCAGCACCTTGAGTCTCTATCATTATCCATAAGACAGGTACCTCTCATCGATCATTCATAAGACATGTACCTCTACCAGCGGCGGAGGCGATGGACTGATTCTCATCTGATTCGATTCACACCCAATCAATGGCCTCCCTTACCTTTCTCTTCGGTGGCTTACGCACTGGCATTGCAGAGTCCCGCCTCCAGAGTGAAGCGGTTGCATTCCACGCGGTACGCAGTTTCGACGAGTGCGACGTCCAGGTCCACGCGTGGCCAGCGACATAACATTCACTGATGAATCGGTAACGTTCCCGTATTCCGGGCACGCGTCGCAGAACCACCGGCAACCTAGCTCCAAGCAACGTGGCCACTCTGTCACCCGGGGCGGCGTCCCACGTGTTCCCAAAGAAGCCGCCCTTGGTCATGAAGCAGCGACGGTTCCACGTCGTGGTTTGAAGCTGGTCCAGGATCTCCGCGGGCACCGAGGCGTTCTTGGTGACACAGTCCGTGGCGCAGCGAAGGACGGCGGCCCAGTCTTTCCATATTTCAACCTCCCCCCCATTGTCGTCAGCAAAGATAGCATTATCTCCCAGGAAGAGGGTTCGCCAGTATGCCTCATACAAGGTTCTGCGGTTGTCATATGGTGGCGGCCTGGTGCCGTTGGCGGCTGGTCTAGCTTCGTGCAGACTTACTTGATCCAACATAATTCCACGAAGCTTAACTCTTGGATTGGGATAGGGATTGTCGGGATTTGGATCGGCCGGTGGGATTTCACGTGGGCTCCAGATATGTTTCCCAAGCCCTGGGACTTTTCGTAGCTTCACATCCCACGCTTCACGCATACACTCACTCCATTGCATGAAGCCACGGGTGTATGGCATGCGATCTCCCACCACCTCAATGCGGTCATCGATCGTTCCTTTGGTCTGCAGCGTCTTTCCGTATTGAAGTAGAGGCGCAAGGCCCTTGGAAGGGAACCCGTCGGCAACTAGTGATTCGTATTTCAGTTCTGTGACCCTCTCTTCCGGAGAAAACTGGGTGGTCCAGTCCGGCACCCAGCTCGGTAGGTCCAAGGCTGAGGCGTGCGGATGTCTCATGTTGGCCAATGACAGGAGATCGAGACTGTTAGAATACTGGAAAATGAGGCCCATGGCGCGTGTATATGCTTTCGTGACGTCCTCACTATAGTCGGGGCCGATGATTCTGCCCACACAGTCATCCACCAGTCCCAGCAACCCGTAGACCTTATCCCGCGGGTCCGTGGTGAGTTGGTGACGACACTTGGCAAGAAGATTGCAGAAAAAATCAAACTGCACTCCGAGGTACTTGTCGTCTAGATCGGTGTCTTCGCCCGGCAGTTGTCTCCATTGTGTCGATCCCATCTTGAACACGGCGTCGTAGAGGGCGAGGTGAGCCTGCATCTTGGCCTCATCGTCTCCAGAGCTGATGGGTACATGCGACAGAGACAACGCCCGGAGATCGTCCAGAAACGAGCGGAAGGGTATGGACACTCGACCGAGCTGGAGAGAAGCCCTTTCTGGCAATCGAGATTCTTGAATTACCCACAACCGCGTCCACCACGGATTGTCGATGACCACATGTAGTATTTTTCGAGCGGATGCACGATTTTTTATCACACCATCCACCCAGTCTCCCTTCTCCAGCTCGGCCAACATCCAGTCTGGTAGGTCGGCGGGCGGACGACCTAGCCAGATGATGATATGACTTGCAAACGTGTAGATATATCGCATAAGTCGGATCTGCTTCGCCCGCTCGTCCAAAGCAGCTGGGTCAAGACCTTGGTTGATGCACAGCGCGTCCACCCAGAGAACGATAGATTTGTCGCGTCTTCGGATGTATCGAAGCGCGTCGTACAGGTTCTCCGGCACGTACTAGGGCCGTTGTTGCAGTTGGATGGCCACTTTGCGCATGGGGTCGCCCCACACCCAGGAGATGGCCTGGAAGACCGGTCGGCTTTCTAGACTCGTGGTCTTGAGCGTACATACCGGTATGCTGTCGATGTGGTCGGCCGGCTGAAGAGTCACGACACGGATCTCGTTGGGGTGGTGAAGAGGTGGAAAAATGTCTGTGTCGGGCAGCTCTTGCGCATTAGACGGAAGAGACATGGTGATTGCTCCCGTAGAGCCGGTGGCAGTGGATAGCACCGAGGCTGGATGGTTGCGGCAAGGACAAGGAGAATCGAGATTATAGGAAGGATGTAGGATGTAGGATGGGATGTAGGATGTAATGTAGGATGTAATGTAGGATGTAGGGAGGTGCGGCTGAAGTTGAGAGCTATGCGCAGATAACATCTAGCGAGCTTGGACGACACGTGATCTCGGATTTCGCAGGGTATATATAGAAACAGTCCGGGCAGCCATGGTAGGCTTATGCTCTTGCTCATGCTCTTGCTCTGCACACATATCAAGTTGAAGTTGATTAAACTCGAATCTTGGGAACTTCAAGGCTACTCAGGAATCGTTGGCGTTGGCATTGGCGTTGGCGGGGCATCTTTGTCTCCGTCTTCGGGACAGAGGCAGCGGCAGACCGACCGTGCGGTGCGAGGACCGGCCCTTAGGCTTCAAGTTCAACCTAAGCCTTTTAGCCTTGGGCGTGTCATGGAGATCCTCCTTACTACCGAGTACTTGTAACTTAGTCCTTGGACCTGGAAGTCAGATCTAACTCGGTACTCCGTACTCAAGTCAACATAACTTGATACCGATGGTAGCCACCTGCTAACCATGGATCGAGGACACCCTGTGTGGTGCTGTGCGTACAGCTGCACATGCTATTCTTCCCAAACACACTTGCCGAGGTCCAACACTTACACAGCGCACTGTGGGATCTGGCATTCAATTCCAGTTCAAGTTGGGACTTAGGGCTCCTACGCCTGCCCTTCTTGGCTAAGGGGCTCTACTCTTACCGCAGACTATCCCGTGCTCGCTCAACCTGCCAAATGCGCGCCTCCTCGCAGCTCCTGTTGCTGTGTAGAATCAACAATCACCAGCTTTCACCGTCTTTCCCATCTTGTCGTCCAAGTCCATCCCCCAAAACTCTCCAGATGGGATTGCACTGTTCAGCAACAGATGGCTAGTAGCCACACAACTCCACGCCTCCCCATCGGCAAAGTCAAAGCGGTGGTGGATCATGCCCACAGACTCCAGAGATAGCACTCTTCGCTTCGGGCACCGTCCAGATCCTAGCGCGGCACGCATCGGCACGATCGGAGCTAAGCGGACCCTGAGTCCAACTTGATCTGATGTCAAAATATCAATCAGGGCAAACATCATGGATCATAGGACAAACATGATGGATCATGGGATCAGCTCAAGAGGTCCGAGGAAGACAGTGTGACGTTGACGATCTGGTAGTGCCGGTCCTGTTCGAAATCACCCCAGCCAACTGCGGCGGCCTAAGCAGGTAATCGGCGATTCCACTCAACTGGACTGAATCTTCGTTGACAATCCAGCCATCTACGAAGCGTCATCGCCGATGCTTTCAACAGAGCCTGGACAAACTTCCCGGTTGCTTGTGCAGATTTGCCACCTCCAGGGCATCGAGATCGAGAACACTGCCTGCGTCGTCAGCTAACCGAAGGAGACAAGCGACAAGAGAACAGGAGACCAAGGCATCGAGAAGGTACCGAGACTCTCTGAAATGAGTGGTTGTCCTCCCCGGAGACTTGATTGAGCTTTGGCAGCCATACACTATGGAAATGCAGCTGCGGCATTGGTTCTACCGACTTGGGGGATGGCTTTGGCAGGCACTAGAATCGCCCTTTGTGTCTCATACCTTTCGGTACCTCAGATCAGGGCAAGCAAACATCTGGAAACACCACATCATTTCCCCCTCGGTCTCCGAGTCAAACAATCTATCTGTCTCAACTGGTCCAGGTATGTCGTGTACATTGTTTGCTTTCATGCAGGGACGGAGACCATCCCAGAGGAGCATAGCTCCAGTCGACACATCACATTACAATTACAACACGGCTGGATATCAAACAAGACCAATTGCCCCCTCCTGGGAAGCTCAGTCTACTTCTCTCAACCTCTTTTCCTCTCTTCCTCTCTCCTCCCAACCTCTCTTCTTCTCTTCTTCCAACATCCATTCCTCTCTTCTCACAACTTCTCTTCCTCTCTTCTGCTTCATATGCCCAGAAATCGACAATGCGGACTCGGATTGATGCTCACTTTTCCCAGCCTGGCAGATGCAACACTGTCGGATGGGGAGAAACCTCCAATGGCACGCTCATTCCTGTTCGTCCTGGTGTTGTGTACAATGGCTGCTGTGGCCCTTTTCTGCCAGGAGAAGTACACGGCGCGATACCGCCTCCGGGCCAGCATCGAGAAGTTCCAGTCCCCACCAGCTTTCGCGATCCTCTCCTGCCTCGACAAGTTGAAGTCTGCAACGGCAACGGCAACGGCAGCAACAACGGCAGTTTCGATCCTCTTCAGTCTGGTGGAGTCTACAGCGGCAGGCCTGGCTGTGGCCTTCAGCCTGGCGAGGTCAACAATGGCACCTTTGGTCGTGTCAAGCTTCCGCCTCTCCTCCGCGCCCAAGACCCCAATGCCAACATTAGCCTGACCCGGCAGGTCCAGATTCTCAATGGCAGGCGCAACTTTAGTCCTTACAATCCTGGTGGAGTTTACCATGGCCTGCGCAGTCCATTCCAGTCCGGTGAAGCCTCCAATCCACACCTGCACCATGTCAATCCAGGCCGAGTCTCCGATGCCAGCCATCATTCTGTCCAGCATGACAATACCTCGATGATCAACTCTGGCATTGTCCAGCAGGGTCACATCTCTGGCATTGTCCAGCATGACCACGTCTCTACTGGCAGTGGTCATTTGGTCGCGCCGGAGCATACCCCGATGGTCAACTCCGGCCTCGTCCAGCAGGGTTACGTCGCCGGCCTCGTCCAGGAGGGTCACGTCTCCGGCCTTGTCCAGCATGGTCACGTCTCCGGCCTTGTCCAACAGGGTCACGTCTCTACTGGCAGCGTTCGTCTGGTCAGGCCGGAAGATGTCTTGCGAAGCAACTCTCGCCTCGACCAGTATTTCGTTGCCCAGCCTGATACTAACAGCATCTCCAATGCCAAATTCAACTTCGGCTATGTCCCACCGTACGGAGTGTCTCGGTCTGACTCCCTCACCACCCAGCCGGGTGACTGTGACTCTGTTCGGTCTGATGACCTGGGCGACGACAGCGACTTTGGATCTGTCCAGCCTGAGCCTGTCTACAGACACCACCTTGATCCTGTCCGGCCTGGCCAAGTCTTCTATCACAGATATCTAATCCATCGCAAGCTCGGCAAAGGTGGCAGCTCGACGGTATGGCTGGTGACCGACCAGAGGTAAGACCAGCCCCATCCAACCCGTCATGATATCAACTGGTGACCAACTAATGGTACTAGAGTCGGCCAGTACCGAGCCTTGAAGGTATCCCATGTCGTTGGCCATAACGAGCGATTCAATACTATCGAGCGGGATGTCATGGAACACTTGCGCAACTTTGACCCTGACCATCCGGGAAGACGACACGTCGCTATGCTATTCGAGTCCTTCGAGTACATCACGCCGTATGGACGACATCTCTGCTTGGTATTGGAGCCTATGGGCGAGACTTTGAGAACCTTCTCCAGCATGTTTGAAGACCATGAGATTCCTTATCCCCTGATGCAACTCTTCACCAAACAGTTGGTAGTTGGGATGGGATATGCTCACGGGGCGGGTATCATACACGGAGGTAAGCCCACACCAACAATGGAAGATGCATTGATTGAGTGCCTCGTACCTTAGCTTGCTCAAGATCGACAGACACTGACCTTTTTTCATCTACAGATATCAAATGCCAAAACATTATGGTGAGGATCAACGATGTGGCCGTCATCGACAAGTACTTGAGGAAAACTTCGCCCAACTTCGCCACCACTGTCCCCGCGAGGGGCCAGAGCCTCCGAGGCCACTACCTTCCCAGAGACAGCAATCTGATGGAACTCGAGGTTGTTCTGGTGGACTGGGGATCTGCCAGCTGGACCAAACATCCCCGCGAAGACATCCAACCGGTTCCGCTACAGGCCCCGGAACTCATGATCGGCGCTCCGTGGGGTCCCAGAGTGGATATCTGGGGTTTGGGCATAGCCCTCCTCGAAATGCTCGACAGCTCTCGACGCTTCAATTGTGATGGCCGACCCACTCACAGCAAAGGCGGCACCGTTGACAATCTCAAGCAGAACGACAATCTCAAGCAGAACGACAATCTCAAGCAGAACGACAATCTCAAGCAGAACGACAATCTCAAGCAGAACTTACAGGAGCTCGTTGCACTCTTTGGACCCATACCTCGTGAGTTGATGGACAAGGGCAACCAGGCATTGGTGGAGCGGTACCTCGATCATAAAGGGGAGGTCCGTGACCGAGTCCCCTCTCAACCCACTAGACTGGAGGTCTGGGTGGTCTGTCTGATCAAGCGACAGCAAAAGGATTCCCTTGAGCTTTTCCTTGCCACCATCCTGAAGGTTGATCCCTTCTGGCGTCCTACGGCCACGAATTTGTTGAAACATCGTTGGGTCAAAACGCCGGGCCCGGATGTGCTCTATCGTGTTGAGTGGGAGGATTGAGCCTCCATTGACCTCCATTTCGGTTATCCTTTCGGTTATCCCTTGGGTCTTTGTTGGGTTTCGGGTTTATGATGCAGGCAAAGCCATCTCAAGCAACAACGATGGCACAGATAATGAATCAAGGCAACAAGGCAACAATGGTGAAGGCAAATGATATGACATGGGGAACACCGATGGTCCGGCACAGGCAAATTGACATGAACAACCATCACGATGATGCAGGTCTGCCGACATCATGAGCAGTAACGATGACGATGACGAGCTGTTCTTTTGTGAACACATGTACTGATGGCGATGGTGGTGGCAATGAAACTAGGAACTATCTGTCCAACTGTCCAACTAGTCTACTCTCCTTTGCAGATAGTGAAATGGAATTTTGTTGGAATGGAACGGGAATGAACTTTGTATTCGAACATGAGTCCGACTTCCTAGGAAGAAGACAACACTCCTTGCTTTGAACACGAGTCCGATTTCCTGAAGACAACACTCCTCATACTGTACACGCTGGGCGTTGATCGTATTGTACAGCAGGTCGACAGCCTACCGAGCTTGTTGACGTTGTAAAATGAAGGTTGAAATATTCCCCTGTTCGCTATCAACGGGTCCCGGGGGGAGCGCATGCTATATAGTATAGATAGGATGGCACCTAAACGTGCCTCTCTGGTTAAAGCACAGGGCTGGGGATGCCTATGGTTTGACAGACGTCTAGGGGTATGTATATATATATTTAAAGTCCGCTTGGTTCGAACATGGACTTCCTAGGAAGATGATAACGCCACTTGCTTCGAACACGGACTACCTAGGAAGAAGACAACACTACTTACACTTGCACTAGCCTCGGCCTATATCGTGCTTTGACTCATTATGAAGATGAAGAAGTAATCAGATCAGGTTAGGTTCTAATTCTAAGTCGCTATAGCATGCATGTGAGGTCCCCATTCCAACTCTAAGTCGCTATAGCATGTGAAGTCCTCATTCCAACTCTAAGTCGCTATAGTATATAAACCCAAGTCTCGACGGGCACGGAGTACGGAGTACGAACCAACCCCTCCTGATTCGTGCCCGGCATGATGCCGGCATCATGCCGTCGAGACTCAAAGAAGGTGTCCTATAGTATGTCCTGAGAGCGTTTCCGTTTCCGACACGGAAGTCAAAGCTCGAAGGCGAAGGCGACAAATACTAGTATGTCCGAAGTCCTGAGAGAGACAAATACTACTACTAATGTCAGACCTACGCAGGGAGGAGTGGCCGAATTCGCAATGCAGCGACGAGGAATGGAAATCCCGGAGTACGTAACGATCAATGTCCGACGTTCGTGTCGTCCGTCTGGAGACGGAGGGGTTGGATCTTTTCTTTTCAGTCACCTCTGCCTCAAGGAGGTTTGTTTCCCTTTCCCTTCGTGAATCACGTCTCTTGCAAAGTCTTGAGGGGGGGCGTTGCTCGAGGAAGAAGAGGTCGGTTTGCTGTGGCGTTGATCATATGCAATAGGTCGACAGCTTATCGAGCTGGCTGACGTATGGAGGGATACAGGTCCAATGGCTTCGAAGATGGACTTCTTGAAGACAACGCGCCGTATACTGTAGACGCTGGGCGTTGATCGTATTGTGCAGCAGGTCGACAGCTTTGCGAGCTGGTTGACGTATGGAGGCATACATTTGAAATTCGCTTGCAGTTTCGAATGCCTCCATGTCCGAGCTAGCTAGCAGTGGTCGAGTCTGATAGTGCATGTTCTGTCCCACCACCATGGACAAGAAATAGCCATGTGTGCTGCTCTGTGGTTTCGTCAAAGGAAAGGGTTTGGGAACTGAAATAGCCAGCTGTTGTGCTGCTCTTGGTCTCGTCAAAGGACAGTGTTTGGGAACTCGAACCTCGGGATGAAGGAAGGAAAAGACCAAGGAGGTCGGAATGCTGTAAAAGACAACGGTGCTCTCAAGTTCTTGCTCGCGTTTGGCATGCAGCTTCGTGCTGTAGACTTTCAATTCAGCGGCTTTGGAAGACAATCGGATCGAGGCATCTCTCAACAGAGGACGCCTGCCTGAACTTGGACGGGCGAGCAGATCTGCCCTTTGAATGCTCCGACCGCTGTACGCTCAGTCCCGGCCATTTTGGACATGATGTTTGTCTGAGAATAAGCAATCGCGTGCAATACCACGTATGGTGCAGCGACTTGGAGGCACTCCCAGAGGTATCCAATGCTCCTGTCTCTGCGGCATGGTTGATGGCGCCCCCATACTGCTCCTGTCTTTGCGGCATGGTTGATGGCGCCTCCATAGGTGATGTCGGATCACTCGGCGACTGTCACCCGCGAATTGGGCATCGAAGCAGTTAGAGACCAATGTGGTGGTTCTAGACGTACGCGCGCGCCATCGTTGTCCTAGCCTTGTCGAAACTAGAGCAGATCTTCTCATTTGCTGGAAGTCTCATCAAGGTAGTGTGTCCACATCTGCTGAGGACTCTGATCAGGTCCGTCTCCCGTCGAGCACGCCTGAGAGGGCGCGCTTCCTGATAGGCATCCCAAGTCGACGTTCGAATCCATCATGTCGAAGCTGCTCGTGTTCCGGAACTGAAAAGGAGAAGCGGCTTCGGCATAGCTGCATTCGGCCAATATCAGCTTTCGACAATCTGGCTTGGGATATATCTGGTACGCATGGCAAATGTGATCGTCATTCTGACGTAAAATCCACAGCGTGAAGGCGGCTTCATCATGAACATAATCCTGATGAGTGGTATTGATCCTTCCGCAACGAGCGACTGATCTCTGTTGCCTGCTGGTGAAGGCGACTTCATCATGAATAAGTTCTGCCGAATCCTTCGGCATCGAACGACCGATCTCTGTTGCCTTCTTGAACACTGCGAGAGGTCTGGTGTCCAACCCATAAACCAGTCTGCTCAATCGTCAATGCCTGGACACCAGGGGAGCTCTTCGGCAGCAGCCTGACCGGTCTCGTTCATGTTCACCCTCACCCTCATCCTCACGCCGTGCCCATTCTTCAGCAACTGCGTGGGCCCATGGTCGCCTTGTTGGAAGTACATGTCCAGAATCTCGTCGATGTCAGTCACGAGTCGCAGCTGTTGACCCGGATCCTCCTCCACGTCGTGTGGAACCAAGGGGCTAGAGACTCCGGGTTTGTGTCTTATCCATCTCTAACGTCCGATTCCAGTGTCTGACCATCCTCCACACCATTATGCCCCCGGCTCGGCCTCAAGCCTTGGGAGACGTGCGGAAAGGGGTTGCGCAGGTCCAAATTTATCGTATTCCGAAGAGCAACGGAAGGAAACGACAATGGCCCCAAAAGAGGCCTGAAGGCACCCCCACTCGAGTACTTTTCAATTTGTAGGTGCCGTGTGGAGAGGAGATGGATGGTATTAAACCTCCCGTCCCAGCTGTGATGAGGAACTCAATCCCCGATGACAGTGAAGATGGACAGAAGTAAGATATGACGTCCAAAGCAATCCTTGAGAAGAATGATGTCCATGTGATCGAAGGTACCCAGTTGATCAGAACACCAGCCTCGTAAATTTTGGTGCTGCCTAGAATTATGACAGAGACGATGAGATATGAATGACAGTCTCTGATTGTTGCGTTCATACTGTAACCAATGTGCGACAGTTGTTGGAGCCCTGTTTCATGTTGAGCTTCCGGAAGGGCAGCTCAGGACAGAAGAAAGTAAACGCCTCGTAGGTCGTAGGCGGTGAATGTTGGTTGGGATGCCTTCATTTTCCAGAGCTTGGAGCCGGAGAGTCAGGGGGCGGTTAGAAAGTTATGAATCCCCTATTGTCAATGGTGAAAGAGCCAACTCGAGGTTGTGAGATTTTTGCTAGCGAGACCATGATATAAAATAGATCCCTAAATAGGTTCTGTCGGCGTAATGGATCGTGTCTATGAGAATAAAATATCTGTCGCCGTGACGGATCGTGTCTGTGAGAATAGAATGTCTTAGAGAGCATCTGACGCTGCTCAACATACGGCAGGAGAAGGTAATCCGTGCGAAGCGCACATGTTCGACTGTCGGGGACAAACGGTGACGGTAATTGGTATCTGGCGAATGTGCGAAGTCGATTTGAGAACCATCGTCGGAGTCGGCATAAGAAGGATAAGAAGGATGTGTGCTTAAGAGGCCTGAACTGCTTTCTTTTAGACTTGATCGAGAAGGCTGGGTCAAAGAGATAAGCATACAGTGATCCCAGCAGAGAGGCCAAACCGTCAGAGCATGGGATGGGACCTCCGGAGAGCCTTGTCAAATATAGATATATGTGGCGGCTTCGTATCGAATATTCTCGCCGATGTTTCCAGCGAAAAAATCCTCTCCAATTCGTACGCGAGAGGAACGCGGAATAGAACGCGGTTGTGCCCATTCCATTTAACATGAACAGGAATATATAGGTTGAAACTTCCATAGATCAGTCAGAGACCTGTGAAAGCTCGCAAGCATTTGTTCTGACGTTGAGATGTTGTGCAACAAGGTGAAGAATGTCATCCTCATTCTCCAGAAGTTCGACTATACTCGATTCGTCTCTTTCAATGTCGCAACCTCTGGACGACGTTGTCTTCATCGGTCAGGGCTTCTGATAGCTTGATCTTCTCCCGACCAGCCTCAGCCGGTGAGTAGAGGATTCCATGCATGTCAAAAGGTTGGAAGCAAACACCCCGTCGGGAGGGAACGGTTGGAAGGAACGGACTGCCGCGGAGAGGCGAGAGGATCGCAGGAGGGTGAAGACACGGAAAACAGGCTGCAAACACCCCATCGGGAAGTGAACGGTTGAAGGGAATGGATCCCACGGAGAGGTGAGAGGATCGCAGGAGGGTGAAGGCACGGAGAACAGGCTGCAGGATGTTTCCGACCAGATTGATCAGAGCGGCGTAGACAGGGCGCGAGAGACGACAAAAAGATAGGTGAGGTGTTCAGGTCAACAGCGGTCTATCGGAGGAGAGATGATGGGACTTGCATGGATTGCTCGAGAGAACTGGTGTCGTCAAGGTCTAGCACAACCAAACCATGGGAGGAAGAATCGAGGTCGACGCTTCAACGCGTTGATTTCGCCAGGCTGCTTTGAGGCCTTGAGCTTCAGGGTGGCAATGATCTGAAACCAATGCGGCGCCTTAGCCCATCATGGTCGACGGTCGAGTTGCACGGGGGGGCTGAGCCAAGCTGGCGACGCCCCAACAGCTGCTGCATCGCCACGGCAAGGACACTGGCTCCGTCAGCCCACAAACCGCAGGCTCATAGTGCCCGGCCGACTGGGTGTGAAGGTCTCATGAGTTAGACGGCTTCCGCATCTCTCTCTTTCAGACACGCGTCCGGAATCATCTCAGTAGCAAGAACCTCGGAGAGAGCCTGACCCCTCCTCAGTCGCCGTGTCTTCCTCCAAAGTGTTGTCTTGCCGACTCTTTTTCTACCTGCAAACGGGGGGTTGTAGCCCGAGGGATGGGGTGTTCAATCTTCGACGGTCCTTGCAGCAAGCAGGCATCGCCAGAGGTATTGGGGCAAGCTCGTGCAATTTCAACTGGAGGCGGTGACGGGAAGTATTGTAGAATAATAGTAAGGTCCGTTAGAGCGCAGGGGCGGCAGGCTGGGAGAGTTCTGGAGGATGGGGCACAGGGTCTTCGCAGGAGTCTTTCGTGTCAGTAGGAATGGCAAACGACTGAGATGTCAGCTGGGTCCTAATAGGGTTATCCTGGCGGTATCATGAACAAAGACTTCCGCAATTCTATCTTCAGACGGACGAGGGCCTTATCCAGGATGGTCCTTTCTCTTGAACAGCAAATCGACCAGCGCAGGCAGGTCTCCGACACCGGCGGTGGGTGTTGCACGGAAGGATTGAGATCATTCCCGGCTATCCCTCACAAAGGTATCTTGAAGTATGGGATAGGCTGGCTCGTTGCCTGCGGCACGGTCGGTTTCAGCTGGATACTGAGAAAGCTCGTGGGTTCGAGGGCATCGGCTGCGTTTTCAGGGCTGCGGGAGGGCACTGTGCCAAACACTGATCGAGGGGGGGGGGATGCGGATGATATATATCCGGTATATAGAGAGGAACACCATTCAAAAATGGGTACTCGAAGGCGCAGGAGGGTTCTGGTAGCTGGCGGTGACCAAGAGAGGGCGGAGTTGGGGATTGTCGCCGAAAGAATGAGGCGCTATGGGCTTCGCAATGCAAGACTGAAGAGGATTGAAAAGCAGACCATGTACTAGTAAGGTATCAGTGAGTGGAGGGGAGGAGAATAGTAGTTCTGCTCGAGCTGCAACAACTTCAATGTTCTTAGGCCACAAACCGTTGGGGTGCCAGCCCCCGAATTCCAAGGTGGCGGGCGGTCACCATGGCTCAAAGTCCGAGGACCTGTACGGATGTACTGAGTAGAGAAGGATGCATAGACAGCTAGACACGGTCCCGAGGGAACGCACCACCTCGCCAGTGTAGAATGGGTGAATGCTTCCTGATAACATGGGCTAGGTACAGTAATATGTTGCTGCCTGATGGTGACATGTGACATGCGAGGCCTATTACGGTCATGCCACGTGACTTGGTAAAGGCTTGGCAGTCTCGCAGCACGGTGTCACCAGGTGTACTCCGTACTTGGTGTCATTGACAGCCTCGTCTTAGCATTTATATCACCAACGGCACCTACGTTTGCTGTCGCAATGATTGTCCTTCGTAGCGGTATCTTCTATGATCGACAGTGGGCAGCTCTCGAGCGACGGAAAGCATTTGGCGCGCCGCGTCTCGTGTGCCACCGGTATTGACCTGGCAGCCCTTGAGACAGGACTTCTCGGTGGTCACTCTGTTGCCCGAGGATGTCGTAGTCCTCCAAACGCGTTGCAACTCTTCCTGAGGATAGTACATATTGTCTGATGCGAAGGCATATCTGGGATCAATATGTCACCCACTTCTCTACGGCGAGGAGAACGAGCACTCCTTCCACTCCAAGAAGAGATGATGGAGCACGACGACGACTAAATTATATTCGCCTGATCGATGGGCAAGAAGAAGTTCTCCGGCTTACTTGGCCTCTCACCTCCATGCTCCGTCCGGTGCGCCAACACCATTTCTGCTCAGTCTGTCGACCAACATACGCCTTTTCCGAGGGCCCATCTTAGCTTATCTTGAGCGTATTCAAGATAACGCCTTGGCTAGCAGACGCATATCTCGCGTTCCTTGACTGCGCTAGGAAGTCAGATTCGGAGCGCTCCTCCGCTTCGACACGGGAATCTTCATCTGTCGTCTTACCGAGGATGATCCATTCGTGAAAGTGGGCATTCCTAAGAATGCTTTAGCCATGACTTGGTCCAGTCGTGGCTTAGTCTAGACGGAAACCTTCGAGCTCATGATCCTCCAATCTCGGAAATGCGGCTCTTCGTCCGCCAGACCCTGGACAGTGATGGCGAAAATGCCTGCCTCGAAGTTCCAATTGTCGATTTGGCTTTGAGATACCAACCGACTTGCTGATACCATCAGCCCGCACCTTGGCCGCTCACTGGCTACCTCAGAACCGCACTGCTGGGGCGAACCACTGTCATCGACATCTCGTCCCCAAACCACGGCCCCTCAAGGATCGCGCTAGGCTTGGGCTTTGACTTTGACTTTCGCCCAATATGTCCTCTGGGGGACTCGCTCTCTGCTTCAAAGACCTATCTGGAGAACTGGAGGACTAGAGACTCGGCCGATTGGTCTAGGGTCGACCCAGATGCTACAGGATGGGATGAGATGGTCGAGGACGGTCGCCTTTCAGAATTCCGTCCTAGCGACCACAGAGAGGCATGGCCCTTCAGAGGATGGGGCTGACCTGAAGTCTCCGTCAATCTCCCCATATCGTCACCAATGTTGCCAATGTCTCTCAGGTCGGATCGTATTCTAACGACATTAAGAATGGTGATCGACGCCAGGACCTCCGACTCCTTCGCGGACACGGCGCACCTACGGCGGATCCTGCAACGGGGAGCTCAAATTAACCTCTATTCAGGTTGAATCAGTGGTACTGGTCACCCCTCCCAGCAACGCCATTCACAATAGTCATCAATGCTCGCAGCTCACAAAGTGTGGAGTGTGCAACCTCCTAACTACTTGCAATGCGGACTATCGTCTCTCGGGAAGCTCTTCCTGTAAACAAGCCGCGGACACTGTGTCGCCGTCTTCCATCTTTGCGCGATCCAAGGCGAAAGAATCGAGAAACCTCCGTTCCAAAACCCGCTCCCGATTCTGCTCAACTGTGTTTGAGTTTTGATCGAAGCTATCCGCTGACTACCTCTTAGCTGATTGGACTGTCCGGAGCGTTCAGATCACTGGATCGAGGAAGTGAAGGTAAAGGGGCGCTGCAGGCTGCAGGCTGCACGAAGCAGCTCTGCGTTCCCCCGATTTCGGAGATTCGCATCGGGGTTCCAGAGGCGATCTAAACGCTCCGGACAGTCACTCCGCTAAGGGGTAGTCGCGCCGACGAGTTTCGGAACCTCTCTTGTGATGCTCCGGAGCTCAATGAGGAAGAAGGGATCGCTTGCGGCGAAGGCGGAAGAGGAAAAAGGATTCGCTCCCAGCGTCAGCGGAGTAGGTTGGTTGATCATTTCCGCTGCGAAGGCGGAAGACTCATGCGATGATCTGAGGCTAGTAGGCACCGCTCTGAAAAGAGCAGCCAACCATGCCACGGTGGTGAACCAGAACAGTCACTGCCCAGCCTTCTGGAGGGATGGCAAACTGGCTTCCCAACTAATCGGACCTCTGTCTCACTTCTTGCCGTCGTTTCCGCGACTTCCACCACTAACAAGGAGCTTCAACCACTAACAAGGGGCTTCCACCACTACAAGGAGAAGGTGATGACCTACATGAAATCTGTCCTGTGTCCTGTGTCCTATCATGACACGTCGAACCTCGTGGACGAGATGAGATGCCCCTGGTGTCATCATCCCAACATGTGATCAGCCTCCGACTGACATGGACACTCGCCGCCTAGCCACGGGATCCCCAGAAGTGGGAGTTGTAACGACACTCAGTCTGCAGGATCACTCCCATTCAGTCTTGAGGACGCGGGGAATCATTCCCATTCAGTCTTGGGACGCGGGACTCCCTCACAATGGAATCTGGGGAACTACCGCCGCCTATGATGATGCGAGTTGTACAGACGAGTCGCGGGAACCATCGCGGTGGCTGTGTTC